TAGATAGATAGATAGATATAATGTATAATTTTTTTTTTAAAGCCAAGGTACCTGTCCTCACCCGGGAAACTAGAAAAAAGAAAAATGTCTGACTGCTGAGCTGGAAAGATTAACTCTAGAGACACTGACTAATGAGCTTATTAGCATTCATACGGATAAACATTTGAGATGAGTAAAAGAAGCGAGGACTGCTGGGTTCAGGAAGCCCAATATATATTAACTTTTAATTATGTGGTTTTAACAGGGCAACTATGAAAGGACACAAAGCAGTCTTTTCCTAAGGCTTTGATCACACACACACACAACCACAATGTGTCTGTTAGGATCTTGCTATTTATGGGGCCACAGGAGCATGTGGGGATGCAGCAACTAACAGGCTACAGACCTAAGGAAAGTACATGCTCTGACTCCACTTTCCTTTAGGTAAATGGAATTCCAATATTAATTATGACAAGTAATAACAATCATTTATTATGAAATGTGCTTACTATGTGTCAGCAATTGCACTGGGTGCTCCAGATGTTTTCTCAAATAATTCTCACAACGACCTTAGCAATCCATGCTATTATCCCTGAACTACAACTGAGGAAACTTGCAGAAGTTATTCATTAAGTGGAGGAAACAGAAATCCAACTCTTAACTGTCTGACTCCAAAGCATTAAAGCTAATGGGGTCATCCAATGTGGAAAACGGCCAAATCAAGTCCGCTGCCTATTTTTATAATAATGTTTTACTGGAACACAGCCACGTTCATTCATTTATAAACTGTCTATGGATGCTTTTTTGCCACAACGACAGAGTTGAACAGTTGCAAAAGAGATCACAAAGTCCACAAGGTCTAACATGATTATTACCTGGCTTTTCACAAAAAGTCTGGTGACTCCTGCCTGCTCTTACTCATTAAATACAATGAAGATTTTTATACCCCTATTTTTTAAAAAGAGTTAATGGGGATTAGTTATCCCTAAGTGTGGTCAGTACACATACGCATGGCAAATGTAATATATATACTATGAAAACCAAAATGCTTTGCCTGGAAAAATTGCTATCATACCAGAATTGTGGGTCATTAAGAATGTCATCAACAGAATTGTCCTTTGTTCTCACCTTTCATATTCTTCCGCAGCACTGGTGACTTGCACGAAGAGTTCATCTAAGCCTGTACCCAGAACAGCAGACACACCTACCACCTGACAAAAGCAACATCAATGCCACTGAGCAAAGAGATGTATATTTTTTAATGGTGTACATTATTTTGTTCAAATTTCATAAAAAAGTTCAGATACTTAAAGAAGTCTCTGGCAAAGAATAAAAGCTAAACCAGAAAGCAGCATGTCTACTAAAAAGTCATGGAAATAAGTCTAAGGAAAATAGAGAATTGAACAAGAAAGATAATTAGGGACAAACAAGTAGCAGGGCTTTTTATCTATTCTCTATCAAATCAAACCACTGTCTGTTCTCTATGAAAATTAGTATCTCAGTGCCTTTACTTGGGCAATTAACATACGCTCTGCCACCCACACCCACTTTTGCTTATACAAATCTTACCCTTCCTTCAAAGCATACCTCTCAAGCTATATCCTCCAACACTTCTCATGTCAAGTGATCTTCCCTCTCACTACCATCAGGGCCAAATTCCAATCTTTCTTAATTCTGTTTTAATTCTGTGTGTAGCCTTCTCTTCTAACTAGACCATAAACTCTCTGAGGGTAGGGTCTCTATCTATTCATCAATAAACCTCCAGTATTTAATAAGTTAATGCTTTAAAATTTACTTTTCAAAAAGTAATGTACTTCCTTCCTAAGACGGTTCAAAGCCAGCCCTATTGGGTTAAGATGCTATCTGGGGAAACTGTTGGCATGAGAAGAGAAAGTTTACCCTGAGTGAGCTGTAAAATTCATCTAACACCAAGCTCATCGAACGAGTCAGGTTACTGACATATGTAGTCTCTTGATTCAAGGCATCTTGGAAAGCCTCAAAATCTTGCATCCATTCCACTGCAAAGCTGTGATCAATGATGTCAGTCTGCAACAGAGAGAAACCAACTATGAGAAACCAGAGATGAGTTTGGAGACCAAATAATGCCCCTCCCCCACTTTTTTTAATTAAGTAGTGATAATAACAAGCAATCATTCAGGGGTGAGGAGAGGCAGAAGAGGGTATGGGGGACAAATAGTGATGGAAGGAGACTTGACTTGGGGTGATGAACACACAATAGTGTACAGATGATGTATTATAGAATTGTACATCTGAAACATATATAGTGTTATTAACCAATGCCACCCAATAAATTCAATAAAGAAAGAAAGCAAATCATTCCTATATTTTCTTTCTCTGCTTTCCCCAGTTCCTCTTCCACTACAACAAGCCATAAAGAACCAAGTCTGCTGTATAGTGTTAATTAAATGAAGTTATATGTTCTCTTCACTATCCACTGCCAAGTCACTCTGACCACAGTGGATGCCAGCCCATTCCAGGCTCTAAAGTCAACTAGTCTGCTGTATCCTAGCTATCAATCAACAGGGAAGTTTTTGTTTTAGTTGCCACTTCCAATAGACTAGCAGTCCCATCTCCGCCCATTGTCTCGATTCTGAGGAATAATCCACACCCTCCAACTGAGGGGCTGCTCTATCTAGGCTGAAATAACTTGGCATGAAAGTCAGTGATAAATATTCAATCTGACTGAATCTTCTCCCTAGAAGTGCCCATGACTGTTTCAGTTAAGCTTGAATCTACTCTCCTGCCTCTAAATAACATTTCCCACTATTCCGAATCTTCCAATAACACAAAGTTCTGATGAAAAACAAATACAGGACTGAATCACAACAGAAGGATCCACTTACTTTATTCATGACCACAATGAAAGGAAGCTTTGTTTTGTACAAGATGCTGAAAAATCAAACATCAAAACATTATTAGTAAAAACACTGCAGCTCTTGTTTACCACGTCAGTCAGTTGGCATTGAGTAAAGGGGACTGAGTTCAGACTCTAAGTGTAAGGTATCCATTCTTACAAGGCACATGTCCTCCTCTCCCAAGAGAAAAACCACCCCACCATCACACAAACACACACACATAACTCTCTTTCTTTAAGAATGCTTTGCTACTGATTCTATTTTCTGTGTGTGTGTGTGTGTGTGTGTGTGTGTGTGTGTGTGTTTGGTTGCTTGTTTTTACCAAATAATTGTCTTTTAAACAACTAATATAAAAATGAGCAAATGGCCCTAGCTGGTTTGGCTCAGTGGATAGAGCATCAGCCTATGGACTGAAGGGTCCCAGGTTCACTTCTGGTCAAGGGCAGGCAACCAATTGATGTATCTTTCTCACATTGATCTTTCTCTCTTTCTCTCCCTCTTCCTTCCTCTCTCTCTTAAAAAATCTTTAAAAATGTATCTTGATCATTGATGTTTCTATCTCTCCCTCTCCTCCTTCCTCTCAAATCAATGAAGATATTTTTTTTTAAAAATGAGCAAATGCTGTCAGTCATCAGATTTCTATTTGGACTAGGATTTCTTGCATCAAATAAGAGACATCCCTAATCATACTCAAAGGGGCAAATGTTGGTGATGGCTTTTCTGTACCCCCAAAAATCAAATTCTCTCAGCTTCAATAACGGCATGCCTTGCTCCTAGATCTAATGTACTCACATAACCAGTGAGGCATGTCCTTACTCTCCTAATCATACCACCGTTGGGGCAAACCTGTGTATTTTAGAATTATGGATAAACCTTTTTACTCATAATCTCTCCCCATGTTATAATTTTCCATGTTATAATTCAGAAAAGGAGCTCTGTTTTATTTAGACTTGGATTTCATTTAACTGGGAGCAACTACCAGAAGATTCATATTCACACACTACCTCTTTCTATAGCAAGCAAGGAGGAAGATGAGAAGTTGCTGACAGAGAATGCCAAGAGCACATGTGCCTCTTTTCTCTTCTGACCCCTCCCCAACTCACAACCACTAAACTGAGTGGCAAACCTGAATGAGCACATCTCTAGGGATAAGCACTCAGGACTCAAAGAAGAAGAGGAGGACTCATACCTTGATGTAATATCGTGCCCAGCAATAATCAATTACCTGCAGGCATAGAGCATGTTGGACATGAAGGTCACTGGGTTGGTACTTCTTGATGTGTCCATTACATAAATGACAATCGTTGGAAATGAGGATGCCTAAAGCCACAAAATAATCAAAGCCTTAGCCAGAGGGCTCATGATCTGTCCCCAGGTTTTTCCTACCTTCTTTAGCAAGAGAGAACCACTTTACAGAGCTTCTATTACTCCCTTCTACATAAGGTCCCAGGCAATAAAAAGAGTCTAGCTCTCAGTAATACCTACAATACTCACCAGGGCCTCTGTGATGATTGTCCCAGAAGCTGACCAGGTGAACACTTCAATCTGCCCAGGTGTGTCAATTAAGACATATCTGTGTCAAGAAAGACCATTAAAGAAGTATTAGACTTGTACAATGCTGAAATATTTCATTACACAAAACACCAAACTACTGGTTATCCAAGATTGGAATGCCCTCTTCACATTGCCAAGTCTACCATCCTCCCGTTGTCTTTAAAATGCATACCACATTACCCCAGGCTTTGTTCAATGTCCAATATTCATGCTAATGGATAAGAGCAGCAGTGCAGCCTGAACCGGTTTGGCTCGGTGGATAGAGCGTCGGCCTGCGGACTCAAGGGTCCCAGTTTCGATTCTGGTCAAGGGCATGTACCTTGGTTGCGGGCACAACCCCAGTGGGGGGCGTGCGGGAGGCAGCTGATCGATGTTTCTCTCTCATCGATGTTTCTAACTCTCTATCCCTCTCCCTCCCTCTCTGTAAAAAAATCAATAGAATTTTTTTTTTTTTAAAGAACAGCAGTGGATAAATTACTGCAAATGATCACAGGGGACTGTGTGATAGTTATAGATACACATTGCATTAAAAATGAGATAAGAAAAAACAGAATATAAATCTCTTGAGAAACTATCCAGTTGCTTAGGGGAGGGGGTGGGACAGGCGAGTGATAGCTAAAGAATACAGGGTTTCTTGTTGAGGTGATAAAAATGATCTAAAATTGCTGATAGCTGCACAATTCTGTGACTACATTAAAAGTCAGTGAATTGTACACTTTAAATGGGAGAATTGCATGGAATGTGACTTATATCTCAATAAAACTGTTTTAAAAATGAGCGAAGAATTTAAAGACACTTCTATAAATATATACCAATGACTAATAAATAGATGAAATGATGCTCAATATCATTAATCCTTGAGGGAATACAAATCAAAACCACAATGCAATACCACCTCACACCCACACACCCACTAAGACAGTTATATTAAAAAACAAAGATATAACAAATATTGACAAGGACGTGGAGAAACTGGAACCCTCATGCACTGCTGGTGGGAATGTAAAATGGTGCAGCCAATAGGAGCTGGGGAAAAAGAAAGATTGCTAATGTGTATGACATTTCTTTTGGGATAATAAAAATGTCCTGAAATTAGATAGTAGGAATCAATACACAATTTTATGAGTATACTAAACACCACTAAATTATATAAATTAAAGAAGTGAACTTTATGGTATATGAGTTTATATCACAAGAAAGATTTTTTAAAATGTATTTTTATTGATTTCAGAGAGGAAGGGAGAGGGAGAGAGAGAAAAACATCAATGGTGAGAGAGGGTCATTTATCAGCTGTCTCCTGCATGCCCCCTACAGGAGATCAAGCACACAACCTAGGCATGTGCCCTTGACCAGAATTGAACCCAGGATCCTTCAGTCCACAGGCCGACACTCTATTCACTGAGCCAAACCAGCTGGGGCTCAAGAAAAATATTTTTTAAAACTACCTCTTTTATGATACTATTTTTGCAAAACACCTTATCCCTCCATTCTTCTACTTATGTATATATGCATAGAAACATGAAATGATAGTCACTGATAGTAATAATAATGATAGTTATTTCTAATGGGTCTAGTGGGTGATAACTGCACCTTTTAAATTATGTATGGTTTGAATTTTTTTTTTAATATATTTTCATTGGTTTCAAGGAGAAAGGAAAAGGGAAGGAGAGAGAGAAAGAAACATCAATGATGAGAGAGAATCATGGATCAGCTGCCTCCTGTGGGGATCAAGCCCACAACCTGGGCATGTGCCCCAATGGGGAATCGAACCATGATCTCCTGGTGCATGACCTCTGAACCATACCACCACGTTGAATTCTTTGTAAGGGTCATATATCTTTTTTATAAAAATAATGAATTATCTTTTTTTTTTAAACAAACCTATTAAAACCTATTAAGATTTAATCTATTAACAGTGGGTAATAATATGAACAAATATTTTATTTTATATTTTGATACTTTTAAAATTAAAAAACAATTATTCTCTCTGATTTATGTAAATTATATTCATTTAAGTAAGAGTTAGAAAGATGTTTCAGAGATTTTAATGCCAACAAATATGGTTTCCCAAAAGAAAACAGAGACAAAGTTTCACAATATCTCCTAAGAAGCCATGGGCATATACCAAAGAGGCTGGGGATAGAATACTATTAAACTTAGCTCTACACTATATAGCATCTTAATGATTTTCTTGACTATCTTTTTTTCACTTCTAACAGTTTCATCTTAACCTAAACTCTTTCAAAACTTAATGCTAACCCAAAATCTTTCCAAAAAGCCTAGAAACGTGTTAACTACAGAGTGATAAACAGGCACTAAACTGAAATCACTTACTTAGACATGTTCTGGGCCTTCTCAATAAATTTCATCACCTAAAAGAAAAAGATGCCAATTACAACAGGAGCCAATTTCAGCATAAAATCACAGGGCCCTCTCCAAGTGGCCTGCTTTATAGGTACCATCACCTATTGAATCTCTGTGTTCTCAATCTTAGGACACCAACTAATAAGCTCACTGAACCACAGAAACACAGCCACATCAGCAGCACTGCAGCACCCTGGAGCACAGGGCAAGGTCTGAGATGCTGATAACTGTCTGTCACAAGTTTAAAAAGCCCCATTATTTTTCTGTTCCATGCCTGCTAGCTCATCTCTCCCCCCATCCCTTTACTCCATCCTCAGGGTAACACTATATGCCAATAACAGATCAAGAAACAAACATGGTCTCCTGTATTTGTTTCACTGGCTGTCCCAAATATTAAATATGAAGTGTTCATAAAACTGATCATCCTCTCATACTAGTAGCCTATTTCTCTGTCTACCAAAATGCCTATTTATTTTCTACTGGAGACCCAGTGCACGAATTCATGCACGAGTGGGGTCCGGTCAGCCTGCCCCAGTTGGGGTGATCAGGCGGGACCACCAGGGGAAGGCGATGCGGGAGGTTGGCTGGCCAGCCCTGCCCCCAATTGGGGTTGGGGGGGGGGGGCAATTGGGAGATGGGGGGTAGCCAGGGGGAGGGGCTGGAGGCGATTGACAGGCCAGCCTCACCCCCTGTCAAACTCCTGGTCAAACTCCCAGTCAAGGGGACCATTTGCATATTAGCCTTTTATTATATAGGAGGATATGTATATCCCAGGTTAATTGCTCTTCTTTCCCAACATTATCAAACTAAGGTATTTAAGAGCCATTGGTTTTTACACAGTCATGCCTATATAAGTGAAAACAGACAGACATACCTGATCAAATCTAGTAGCAAAGAGATTGAGTGAGGTCACTATGCCACCATTGGGTCCAAGTCCATATCTAGACACTAAGTTGAGGATTTAAATTGTTTATAGATGAAATCAGATGATAAAGTTCACACCCAGGACATCACTCACACAAACATTATAATATTAGTGGTCCATTAATGAATATTGGCAAGCTAATCCTTGACTTAGTATGTACCACACAGCTATAACTTCATAGGAAACATTCATCAAGGTCTTCTTCATTTATTTGTTTTAAGGAGGGCCAGGCAAAATGAACAAACTAAAGGGACCAAAACATAATAGACAGATGCATCAGGCAGTGACAGCCTGCTAGCATTAGCTATTACGATCATCTATATAACACTCCTTGCTCTGATCCTCACTGATCAAGCAACTTGCTGATTATAATTAGATTTCCTACCTAGACTTACCTAGAGGGAAAGTACACATTTCACACAGCAATGTACCAAGAGGTGATCCTACTCATTTCTGGGTTTCCCAGTTTGAAGAGGTGATGACCAATGGATGTAGCTTCCAAGGCAATGCTACTTTCTGGGTCCTAGGCACGCTACCAGCTAGCCTCTCATTATCTACGCCCTCTAATTACAACAGCCTGCCGTCTGGGAATTTGGTAAAAAAACTAAAATTGCAAGCCCAAAGAATATTTCTAATCACCTACAATACTTTTTCCCAGCTTCATCTTTCATTTTCCTAATAAAGTGACTTTAAAGTAATCAAAATGATTTTACTAGTATATTTCACAAGGAAACCCAAAAACATTCCTTCAAAGCTGCAAAATACAGAGTGAGTCAACACCAAAGAAGACGTAAAAAAGGATACTGTTTCATGACTTCTTTATACTTCACGGTGTCACGAATATCTGGGGAAAGAGGGTGAATTAATTCGAATTTAACACATAAGAAACAATATAGCTTGAGGCTCTCCACCAATAATATCCTAAGCCACAAGGTCTCTCAGGTCATCTCTGATCCCCTGAGGAAAAATAATAAGTTTCCCTCTAAGCATGAGTTACTTTTCAAATTTGTTTTGTAATTTTTAAGCCAAGATCATTGAACTGTGATGAAAAAGAAGCAAAATTGTGAGGAAAAGAATAGAAGGGCAGAAGGTGTCCTGTACTTTCTCTATCAGCAAGAAATGAAAAGTAGTTTTTAGTATTCCCTTGTGAGCATTCTCTTCTACCAGCTTCACAATGGTTCCTGTCCTTACAAAGGATAGCTGTCAAGTCCCCCATGAGGAATGTTAGGTTACAACTTCTCAAGCTATGGTTGAGATGTTCTGAGATAGGGAGAAAAGTTTTATGCACTTAAACACCTTGTCAGTAACCATATGAATAGAAAAAGAGCACTAAATCAAGAAAAAAATGTTTATTTCTTATTAACTGCTACTGATAACAAAGGTAATGCAGACATGATTTTTAAAAAGGAATTAATTTATCCAGTAATATCTAACTAAACCTATCTACCAGTCTATAAACCTACCCCATCAACTATTAGAATTCCATCCTTTAAGTGAGATGGGAGATTTTTTTCCCCCAAATCCTTTGCCGTGTGTGTGTGTGTGTGTGTGTGTGTGTGTGTGTATCTCCAATAAACCTTCGGTACAGAGGACAATGCTCACCTAACTGAGCCACACTGGCCAGAGCACAATCTCTGCTTCTTAACATAAGGCCTTCCTTTGTTTGAGTTATAAGCATCTTAACAGGATTAAGAAGAGATAGAAAGATTACCACAGTGAAAGTCTAGATCAGGAAGCCTAGATCCTATCAAGAAACATGACATTGAATCACATCCATTTTCATCTTTTTATAGTCACAGATTCCTATTAGGATACCTATGCACATTTTTCCATGTAACTTTGGGAGTGGAAGCAAGGTTCCTACAAATCATTAAGTGAACTACCACACAAGAACCATTATACTCTAACTAAACGTTGATAAAAATCTACATATATAAAACCCTAATATGCAAATAGACCGAAGGGCGGGACAACCAAACAACCAGTCACTATGACGTGCACTGACCACCAGGGGGTGCGCATGGAACATAAAGGGCCATGGCATGATGGGGGAGGTGAGAGGGGGGATGCTGGTCACTGTCATCCGGTGAGCCTCTGGTGGTTACTGAAAATTCTTTGCTCCTATGCACTGCGGTCCTGCCGTGCTCACACCTGTGCTGGTGTCGGCCCTGCTTGCACCCGCTGCCAGCACCAGCCCCCAATCACTCCGCACTGTCAGCAGATTCAAGCAGCAGCTGCCAGCCCCAATCACCCCTGAGGGCTTCTCCACCTCCCCCTGCTCCTGAGGGGCAATCAGGGCAGCAGCCGCAGCTCGCACTCACTGACAATGCCGGCCTGCTCACACCTGCTCCTGGCGCCGGCCCCAATTGCTCCACGTCATCAGCAGGTGTGAGTGGGGCCAGCACTGTCAGCGCATGGGAGCAGGGCTGCCGTCAGACAGGGAACCGGGGGCCAACGCAGGAGGGGCTGGGTGGGGGCATGGAGGATGGGCCAAGTCCTGCCTCTGTGCCCACCACAGCCTTGTGGTCCACAGTTCCTTTCAAGGTGCACGAATTCGTGCACTGAGCCCCTAATAAACTAAATAAAGAGGTGCATATATCAGAGCCTGCTGAAGGGTTTAGGGCCTAGAAGTGAGAAGCCACTTCATTTTCCCAAACAATAGCCTGATACCTCAGGTAAGAAAAGAGAAATAACACTGAGTAGAAAGGAAACAAAGGGAAAGGAGTCAACAAAGAGAAAATGTGAATAAGGCAAAAGCCTGTTCAAGAATTCTAGCAAGTCCATGGGAAATGAAAATAGGTAGTTTAGGAAAAAATGAAAGCATTGAAAACTGGCAGGCTGGAGGGTTTCCATTCCAAGAAACTTTATACAAAATGGCAGTTTACTCACCAATATTGGCAGGAAAGGGAACTTCATGCACAGCTGGGTCAAGATTGATGACATAAGGTGGAGAGCCTTGGCTATGCAGATGTCCTGTGAGCCTCTGCAGAGATGTGAGGTGCGGGATGGAGACAGACAAAGAGGGCATGATAAGAGGACAAAGGACATTTCCCTCTATCTGAAGTACTCACCTCCAACATTCAACTCTCAGATGAAATGAAACCTTTCTTTATTACCCATTTAACAGAGCCTCCTCTTCCCTCCATCACTTATTTACTTGCTTTGTGTGGGGTTTTTATCCTATCACCGCCAATAAACCAGTAGTTCCATGAATGCAGAACCTTATCAACCTCATTTTCACTGTATCCCCATTGCCTGTGTTTGACTCAAAATGATGACAGCAACCAGGCAGCAAATGCTCCGAAAAATGAAAGTTTTGCAGTTTCTTTTACTTATGCATTTGGAATTAAGGAGGAAGATGACATAAAGTTGGAGAAAGAGAGGTGGAAAGTGGATGGTTAATAAGATTGCATGCTCTCTTGAAAAAGAGGCATTTCAAAGGTGAGTTAACCCAGATGCGCGCGCACACACACAAAAAAATGAACAGGACTTACTTAGAGCACATATAAACATTTTACCAAAAAAGTTATATGCTGGGGTGTGACTACCCACCAAGACCTGCCCAGTTAAGAATTTATGATCCATGTTATCTCACTCATATGTGGACTCTAATGAACAAAATAAACAAAATAGAAACAGGCTCATAGATAGAGAACAGACTGACAACTGTCAGAGGAGAGGTGGGGCTGCAGTTATTACACTTATTACGGCACCCCTTTTCTGTTCACACAACAAATACCTAATTCTTTAGCCATCTATACCGAAAGCCTGTGTGGTAGCACTCTGCACTATGAATCGCGTTACTTGTAAGTCAGCCTCTGCCTTCAAGTCAGCAATTTTGCCGGCAGGACAACCGCAGTACCAGGTGGTAAGCGGCACCCGGTATGCACTCCAGGCGCCTTGCTGAGCCCAGGCTCCAGTGCAAGGTCTCCGAGGACCCCCGGAAGCCACGCGCCGGCCCTCCCGCTCCTCGGGAAGCCCTCCTCTCCCGTTTCCCGGCCTTCCACTGCCTCTCGCGCACACCTGCTTCGCCCGCGCCATGTACCTCACCTGTACGAAGGTGGTTTTCCCAGACCCCGCCATCCCCAACACCAACAGACACACTGGGGGCCGAGGACCCCCGGACGCCTGAGGTTCAGCTGCAGCCGCGGGCGTCGCCATCTTCCTTCTGGCTCCGCCCACTCGACCATCGAGACGTCACGTGGCTAGAGAGACTTCCGCCGCGGCGGCTGGGAGACAGAATGGGACTGGTTCCGACCGCTCAGAAGAGCATCCTCCTGTCCCGACCTGGCTCGGGAGCCAACCGGGGGCCTTGCCGGGGGAGTGGAGGCGCTGGGAGGAATGGAGCGAGCGAACCGGAAGAAGAGCTCGCCGTCGCACGGCCTGGGTTCGCAGGAGAACCGGACGAGATGAGATCCCGAGAGCAGGGCTCCCACAATGCAAAAAAGAGAGTGCGTTTCACTTCCGGCCCCCAAAGGAGCCTGGACTAGAGCCCGGAGAACCGACTGCTAGGACTGAGCCGGGCGAGGGGGTTAAGCCGCGAGCGGGGTGGGTGTGGGGGGACCGGCCTGGACTGGAGCCGGATGCGAACCTAGGGGTTGCCGGGTGTGCAGAGGCCCGTTGAACCGAGACACTTGGCTCACGGGGACCCCGTCCCCGCCTGGCGACGCCCCTGACACTAGTCCTAGTCCCTCTCGGTCGTCTTACACCAACGCCCTGACATTAGTCCTAGTCCCTCTCGGTGGACTTACACCAACGCCCTGACATTAGTCCTAGTCCCTCTCGGTGGACTCACACCAACCCCCTGACACAAGTCCTTGTCCCTCTCGGTCGTCTTACAGCAACGCCCTGACATTAGTCCTAGTCCCTCTCGGTGGACTTACACCAATGCCCTGACACTAATCCTAGTCCCTCTCGGTGGACTCACACCAACGCCCTGACACTAGTCTTAGTCCCTCTCGGTGGACTCACATCAACGCCCTGACATTAGTCCTAGTCCCTCTCGGTGGACTTACACCAACGCCCTGACACTAGTCCTAGTCCCTCTCGGTGAACTTACACCAACGCGGGGGAGTGGACGCTAGGATTCCCGGAGCAAGTAGGTACTGAGGGGCGTTTCCCTGCACGGAAACCGAAAAGGTGGTGCAGGAGCTGAGACATGTATTCCTGCTCCTGACCTCCGAGTCTGTTCTGGGCCCTTTGTAGCCAGCTGTTCAACAAGTCGTAGATAAATGTGGGTTTCACACCGACCCCGGCTCTGCCACTTGCTAGCAGTGTAAATCGTGGCTAAGTTACTTAGATGCTCCAAACCTTTCTTCTCTTTAAAATTGAGGTATCTCATAGGGGTGGTAGTGAATGCATATTATAAATTGTAAACTACAGTCCTTCACCTTCACCCCTACCTGTATGCTCCGTGCCTCGACATAAGTGCTCGAAAATATTTTCTTTT